GTCAGGACACCCAGGGGGAGGAGGAGGCGGGGACAGCATGTCAGGATGCCCAGGGGGGAGGCGGGTCAGGACATTGAGGATCAGACCGGACGGCACCAACCTGCGGGGTGTTTGCTCTCAAAGCAGACCTCGAACATGTCGTACTCCTCGGTGGTGAAGGCAAACTTCCCCTTCGATGCGTCTTCCTTGGAGTAGAGGATGTGCCCAGCCGAGTCCATGATCTGAAACCAGACATCCCGATTGGTCAGTACACAACGAGGGGGGGAGGGGGGCTATCACTAGTATTCTACTCTGGAGATTGATTATACCCCCCTCCCCCCACCGAGTATCTAAGCCGGCCAACACAGATGGCAGATTCCCAGGTGCCGCCCCTCCCCCACCCGGAATAACAGGTCTGTCACCCCGTGACCACACAGCCGGTATGAAGGACACCCAATGTTCAGTGGGTGTCATATTGGGGGCGGGGCATACACGGCTCTGTCAGATCAGCACCAATGTCCATCATTCAATGGCCCAGCACCCGTCTCATTCAAAGTTTAGTATTTGTCCCGCTTTAGCCCGCCGCGCTCGCTGTATGAGAGGTGACTGGTGGGCGGGGCTAAGGACAGTTCGTGTCATGTGACAGATTGGTTGCGATACATTGCAAGTTCAATTCTAGTACACGCCCAGTGCGTCATTCCTGGTGACCTAAGCGGCGGCCATGAATGAAGGTTCGTAGAGGGACTCTCATGTAAAGAGGACCTGTCTGATGACCTCACAATGACCAAGGATGGAGATGAGGGGTTCCATGGCTGTCATCCTCATCCGTTCCCACTGCACTGCTAACACACACTATATATTGCCATTAGTATCGGGACGCCGGCCTTTACACGCACATGAACTCTAATGGCATCCCAGTCTTAGTCCGTAGGGTTCAGTATTGGGTTGGCTCCGCCCTCTAATGGCCCCCCAGTCTTAGTCCGTAGGGTTCAGTATTGGGTTGGCTCCGCCCTCTAATGGCCTCCCAGTCTTAGTCCGTAGGGTTCAGTATTGGGGTGGCTCCGCCCTCTAATGGCCTCCCAGTCTTAGTCCGTAGGGTTCAGTATGGGGGTGGCTCCGCCCTTTGGCGCTATAACAGCTCCGCCTCTTCTGGGAAGGCGTCCACAAGGTTTAGGGGCGTGTCTATGGGAATGTTGGACCATTTGTGAGGTCAGGTACTGATGTTGGGGGAGGGGCTCGCAGTCTCCGCCTCTAATTTATCCCAAAGGTGTTCTATGGGGTTGAGGTCAGGACTCTGTGCGGCCAGTCACGTTCCTCCCCAAACTCCCCCCTCCGTGTCTTTATGGACCTTGCTTTGTGCACTGGTGCGCAGTCATGTTGGAACAGGAAGGGGCCGCCCCCAAACTCCGCCCACAAAGTTGGGAGCATGAAATTGTCCAAAATGTCTTGGTGTGCTGATGCCTTAAGAGTTCCCTTCACTGGAACTAAGGGGCGGAGCCCAACCCCTGCCCCCTCCCCCAAACTTTACTCTTGGCACAATGCAGTCAGGCAAGTACCGCTCTCCTGGCAACCGCCAAACCCGGACACGCCCATCGGATTGCCAGACAGAGAAGCGTGATTGGTCCCTCCAGAGAACACGCCTCCTCTTCTCTAGAGTACAGTGGCGGCGTGCGTTACACCGCGGCATCCCACGCTTTGCATTGCACTTGGTGATGTGCGGCTTGGATGCAGCTGCTCGGCCATGGACACCCAATCTGACGGCCGCATGGAGTTTAGAGGTCTGTAGCTATTGGCTCTGCAGACAGATGGCGACTTCTGCGCACTGTGCGCTTCAGCATGCGCCGACCCCGCTCTGTCATGTGACGCGGCCGACCACTTCCTGGCTGAGTTGCTGTTGTTCCCAGTTGCTTCCACTTTGTTATAATCCCAGTAACAGGTGACCGTGGAATATTTAGTGGCCGGGAAATGTCACGGGCGGACTTATTGCGCAGGTGACAACCTATCACAGCACCACGCGTGTAGTCACTGAGCTCCTGAGAGCGACCCGTTCTCTCACCGATGTCTGTAGAAGCGTCTGCACGCCGAGGTGCCTCGTCCTATACACCGGGGGCCATGGAGGGGCCAATACAGTGTATGTGTATATCAGGAGCCCTGACTTCACTGGCTGCATGCTTGTTCCAGGTCAGGGTGAGGATGACAGCTCCTCCATACAATGCGGTCAGGCTCATCCCCAGTTACTGCGGCCACACACGTGGTCTATTGGGGCAGCTGGATGATGTCAACTGAAAAAAGGAGC